CTAGAAATCACGCACCTATGAAAATAAAATCCTTCATTTTTATTCATTATTTTTCACATTCTCACCATTGTAAAACACCTGTACCCTCACACAACACAGGAAACTGAAATAGAACAGACACTACATAGGTTTGTTTACTTCTACGTGTTCCATTTTTGCCGAAAGGGTTCCCGTGGGCATCATCGTGCCAACAGTGTGAATTCTTTTCTCAAGGCTGCACAGGCCTTCCTTCTGGCCGTTTGTCCAACCCCCTCCTAATTTACTCAGATGATGGCCACCAATGGGACACTTCCTTTGTCTGGCTACCATGACAGATGGCAGAGCTTCCACTGGGATTGGCATTAATAGGACTCAGAGGAGCTTCCGAGACTGAATTGAGAGGCCATTCCTCTCTGACCTCCAGAGATTTAGTACATCGCATTTTCAATCCATCTATGCACTTACCTTATAGGTAAAGGGGAAGAGGGCAGAGAAGATCATTATACAGTTGCTTTTAGCGTTTACTTTTAGGAGGAGAACAATGAACTTGGGCTAAAAGTACCAGTGTTACTTAATCGCTGACCATTTATTCCCTTTGTTACTGAAGTCAAAATTCTAAGAAAAAATATATTTTAAAACACCCTTGGATAGAAATGATTTATTTTTATAAGCTGTGGCCCAGCTTATAAAATGAAAGCTCATACATACTGCAGCAAGCCATCTGTCAAGGGGGATCCAGATGAGCTAAACAGATGCAACAATTCAAGTTATTTCTGACATGCATAAATAAAACTAGCTTGGAATCAGGATTAAAAAAATACTCAAATCCTAAATGCTTTTAAAATGTCAATGGGAACTCATCAGTGTCAGATAACCCTCTACATACAGAGTATTTCCTTGGGAGAGAGAATTTTGTATTCTTAGCTTTCTCCTTTTTAAGGACTCAGGACAGCAGATAATAGTAGAGAACTCAGAAGAGTGGATAGGTGGCAAGAGGGCACCCTCTCAAGCTACCCAGCATTTCTGAATTAAATAAAAAAGACAATCTCTGGCCAGATGAAAGAAAGAGCTTTAAGTAAAAAACAGTGAAAGCTTATTGAAAGCTTACTACATGGCAAGCAGTGTCGTAAGTGCCTTACATATATTATTTTAATTCTCACAACAACCCTAAGGGATAAGTATTATTACTGTGCCCATTAAATAGATGAGAAACTGAGTCTCTGAAGGGTTAAGGAACTCGACAAGGACCACATCACCAGTAAGTAGCAAAGCTAGAGCCCATGTATCCAACCTCTTTGCTCCATTGCTTCCGTGTATGCTGGATGTCTTTTCCAGATCATAGGGACATGGTAGATTGGGGCCAAGGTGGAGTCAACTTTTGACTCCAGAGACCCTTCACGGTCCTTGTCCAGGCTCTTCTAGTGCAGAGTGAGTAAAGCAGATAAAGCAACAGAGGGAGCCATTTGGGGTTCTACAGGTTCCCTTCCCATCCCTGGCTCCAGCTTCCTTTGTGGTCACTCAGACCAGCACCTTTCCCCAATCATAGTCTCCTCTGTTGGACCCAGCTCTAAAATTTCAGCTCCTAGGAGGACTCTACCATGTGCCTTTCTCCCTGGTCATCCCACTGCTATTGAATTTGCATTCTACCCCTTGGCTTTTGATTTTAACAGTTGCATATGAAAACAAATTAAAGCTGAGATAAGAGGAATTCTAACTATAGAAAATGTCTGTCAGTAGCAGTGTGTCTCAAAGAGCAGTTCTCTGCCAGCCAGCAGACGTATCACTTGCCATGCTTGACAGAAGGGTGGATTCCAAGTCTGCCGCACACCTCAGGCATCAGATTCTGGAGGTGTGGCTAATGCAGATGTCTTTTAAATAAGCTCTCCAGGTGATTCTAATACACATTAATGTTTGTGATCCCCTGATGGATCTAGAGGGTTTTATGCTTACTAACCCCAGTGGTGATACTATATTTAGTTATCAAGGAAAGCACTGAAGTCTCCATAAAAAAAGTACCAGGACTTGGAGGAGCTGATCAACAAGCTAGAATTTGTAGTTCACATGGAAATTTGTAGGCTACTAACTATTGAGAATATTGAAATGCAGCATGTAGCACAGTATTTTGGAAATTTTACCTAGGTTTCCACAGAAACAATTGTCTTACAAATGTAGTCAGGTAAAGCAAAAAGCCCTTCACAGAAGACTAGATGCCATTCTGGGGTGGCCTCAGCAACCTCTTCAGCCAATTAACAAAACAGAAAGAGTAAAAGAAACAGAACGAAAATGAGAGAGAAAAGCTCAGACTGCTTCAAATTCCAAACCTGTGCCATTTTCCTAGGTATTTTTATCATGGCTATGTGAATGCATGTGAACAAACCAGGTTTACCACAAATTGGATTTAATTTGTTTATGGTGGAGCCCTTCACTCCACAGTCCTCACCTACCCTATTTTAGTTTATTTTTTGAGACAGGATCTACCTCTCTTGCCCAGGCTAGAGTGCAGTGGTGCCATCATGGCTGACTGCAGCCTTGACCTGGGCTCAAGCAATCCTCCCACCTCAGCCTCCCAAGTGGCTAAGACCACAGGAGTGTGCCATCATACCAAGCTAACTTCCTCCCTCCCTCCCTCCTTCCCTTTCTTTCTTTCTTTCTTTCTAATTTTTTTTTAAATTTATTTTTTATTTTTTTTAAGAGCTGAGGTTTCCCTATGTTGCCCAGGCTGGTCTCAAACTCATGGGTTCAAGTGATCCTCCTGCCTTGGCCTCCCAAAGTGCCAGGACTATAGGTGTGAGCCACCACGTTCGCCCCCTATTTTATTAATATTTTGAATTTAAGCTCCAGGATCCTCAAAAGCCTTTTTGGTAAGTCCAGGCACCCAATTGTTTGCATGGTGCATTTCAGGGAGATGCTCTGATCTCGTCTGTAGTCTCTCAATCAGAAAGGAGACATCCCCAATTATCAACATCACTTGGGGGAGCTTTTCCAAAGTCCCATTCCCTGGCCCTCACCCAGACCTACTAGATCAAAACATCAGTAATGAAACCCAACAATCTGAGTATTTATAAAGTTCCCTGATGACTAGGCCATCAGCATCATATGGCAAACACTGCACCAAAGTCTTATTTACAATACTTTCCCACCTTCGGGCAAACCAGATTAATGTGCAGTCTGCTACAAAAATTTAGCCTTTCATCCTTTTAGGTTTTCAGAAAATAATTCTTGGTGGGAAAAGGGTTTTAGTTCAAATGGAGGTCATGTATCTGCTTCTATCTAAATGCACAGTAGGCTTTACCTCGAAGTTAATAACACTGAAGCTTTAGGGACTCTGCATGCATGGCCCCCTTCCGAGGCACTGAATATAATTTTGAGATGTAATTTTATATTCATCTTCTTAAACAGAGTATTCCACATTGTGTAAACTCTGGACACCACAAATCTGAAATCTGTACCGTCTACAAATGACAATGTAAATGATAAAGTTATACAAAATAACCCAAAACTAAATATTTTTAGCAGCTCAATTTTTTTCTTACCAATAGGTTCTCCTTTTTTTTTTTTTTTCCTTTTTAAACCTGAAGTTCTGTACTTAAGGAGGATATTTTTGACAAGGCATTCTGATAGTCAGAGACAATATTAGTGTAATGATGGCCTGGGACAAGAGCTGGTAGCAAGAACAGATGGTCTACGCAAAAGCCCACCCAAAGGGATATGATGATGCCATGTGTGTGATAGCTGTTTTAGAAGTCCAAGAGGGTAGCATGCTGCAGAGATTAAGTGGGGACTCTGAAACCACACTATGTGACCTGAACTCAAATTGATTGATTTACCCAGTGAATTTAATAGATGGGCCTCATTCATTTTGAATAGGAAAAGAAACCTGCTGCATCTTCCCTATTCATGAGCTCATTCTCCAATTTAGGAAGGTCGCCTCATGCTCAAAGCAAAAAACAGCCTCCTAGCTGGGAAGCGAAGGTTTTTTGCAGTACTCAGATGTTAATGTTTTCTGGGCTCAGACTATTTTTATTCGGCAGCACAGACGGTAGTGTAAGCACAGATTTCTTCAGCAGATTTTATTATACCAGGTGTGGGATCCTAGGCCATTGTCCTTAAAACAGACACACATTCATTACCTGCATCTGAACAGCTTTGAACTAATGCCATCCTTTATCGGTGATCATTCAGCTGTCTGCTTCTTGTCATAAAGAGAGAGAGATATAAAACGTAGCTCCGGGAAGCCCTTTTTAGATGAGAATGACTGCTATGTCATGAAAGGATATTATAATAAATCATATTTTAGCCATTTCAAAAGCAGAAAATATCTGAAAATAAAATAATCTGAAGATCCACAAGAGAATCACTTAAGACGAACCCGAGCTTTGCCACAGAAGTAGGTTTTAGAGAAATCAAATGAGAAGTGGCCTAACTCCCTAAAAGCGTATGTTCTGATTGGGGCTCTAGGATACCATTGTTTTAATTTCAGCAACAAATAAAGAACAAGAGCATAAAGAATATAACATTGAAAAATAGACACCGAGTCCTATGTGGTGAAAAATAAACCCATCCAATGAACCAGGTCAGGTAGAGTGGTATATGGAGTATGGCAGAAATGGCTCTCCACACCAAAGATTTTTCTTCCCTCTTTGATAATCCTACACTAGAATACTAGATCTGACACCAGAAGTGGCTGCTCAACTAAGGACTATATTTCCTTGCTCTCCCTGACTCTAACTAGGGCTATGTACCAGATATCATCAATGGAACATGAGGAAAGGTGACATATTTCTTTTCCAAGCCCAAGAGGTTAAAGAACAGACAAGCCTTCTTAATCACTTTCCCCATTCTCTTTATTTCCATCTGCCTGCTGGATGCTAACACTGAAACTGTCCAAGCCACCAGTAACCTAGGTCCCAGAATGACAGTACGGAGCCCCCTGTTGATCTGAAAACCGCCTTGCACTGTTAAGTGAATGAGAAATAAAATTGTATTTATGCCTCTCAAATATTATGGCTTGCTTTTTACAGCAACTCGCATTACCCTGACTAATGTACGAAGATAATCAAATTGTGTTCGAAGATACAACACACCTGTTATGTGAATACGATATTCCTCCTTGAAGATCTTCTGGAAGAAAGGAATCTTGAACTGCATGTGAGGGGTGTGCAAACCAGGGAGATTTACATCAACGTCTCCCATGAAATGGGGGAATTCCCAGTCCTGTCAGAGAAAATCAAATAAAAACATATTTGTGATTTGTTTCATTTCTAAGCAGCAAAACATCAAAAATTGACTTTTTATAAGCACTTATTTTAAAATCATTTAAATGCAGCCAGCTGTTAGATATATCAGTTTCATTCTGTGATGGTTGTTTTATGTACATTAGGTAGCAGTACACATTCAAAATCAAAATTCAGTCGTAAGTTATATCTTCAGATTTTCTTTTTAATGTGGTAATAAGAAACCAATACAGAATTGATTTGCATCTACACATGTTTATCTCTTTCATTCTGGAGAACTGAACTTAAATGTTTTTAGGAAGGAAGTGATCTGTATTTAATAAATATGGGATAAATTTGTTATTTTTTGTTTCATGACTTTTAAAAAATATGAACCTTATAGCATGTTTTCTGTAAGAAGACAAAGTAAAGAAGATCTGATTCATTTAACCAAGTTCTTTGATTCACATCAAGTGACTTTTACTGATCACGTCTGCTGGCAACCATCCAGAATGTAAAAATGACAGGCACCTGTCCGGCTCTCTTGCAATTCAGCATCAGTTTAAGCCAAACAATGGAAGACCTGACATGGTAGCATGAGAGATCAACAATGAATTTTAATTCCCAAATTGTCACTAGTTATTTCCTTGTTTTCAAGGCAAAACTGGGTGGGCCAACCCTCCTTCTCTGAAGGAAGGGAAACAGATGCAAATGAGGACATTTTTAGGTGTCTGACCTCCTCTTGGTTTTCAGATAGAGGCACCAAATTAAAGTTCATAACTAGCATATGAAGAAGGAATACACAAAATTTGAAGAAACATTTGAGATAGATCCATAGACACTAGTATACACATTTTCACTTGTAATACCTAAATAATCACCAAATAATCAGTCCTATATTTAGTTAATATTCTTTAAAGAATGAATATGAAAAATTCAGAAACAAAATATTAATTTGAGATTTTAATCCATTACATCAATATAAAGAAATTAAGTCTATTCGAGACTTTTATATTTGCAGCTGAGAGGGATGTGCTAGTAATATAGTGCCTAAACTTTTTAGAGGTTTCCATGTCTATTCCACTCTCCTCTCTGTTGGGAATTCTGGTTAAGAGCGAATGGGACTTGAAGAAAAGATAATATGTGAGTGGCAGTAACCAGAAAAGTCTGCAGTGTCTACCAGTTTCCTGATCTATGGATCATTTCAAGCTGCTAATAAGAAATAAATATACAAGAAGAAAAACGGAGTGATGCAACATTATCCCTTTCTATCAGTGTATGTGTAAATCTCTTGTTGGTCTCACCTCCACTTGTCTTTCAGACATCAGCAGCAAATAGACATGTAATTTGGGAAGTTCATAAAACCCAACACACTAAAGCTGAATTAATTTGGCACATTTTGATCTAAAATATTAGGTTAATGTGCATTTGCCTTTTTTCTCCCACTAATGCCACCTTTGTTCTTTCTATGTTGCTTGGAAGACATTTGCAAAAATAATAATAATTGACATTGAATTTAGTATTTTGCTAAAGTATAACTCATGAAAAATTATGCTTGACAAAGAAAATCACTGATAACCAGAGTATCTTTCACTTGCCCTGGATAAATGACACAAAGCATTATCAATACAGCACTTCTCTTTTTATTTCTGGGTTTAAGGAAGAGAAGATTTCTTGGTAGTAATTGGGCAAGTGTGTTCAGAACTGGTTTCTTTCTAGAAAGACACTTTTGAATGCTCCCATTTAGCGTTTCCTTCAATGAAGCTAAAGTTTTCTATTGGGTATGAAATTGGTTTTAGTTTGAAAGCAATCTCTAGAGATTTCTTGTAGACTATGATCAAAATCTCTCTCTCTCTCTCTCTCTCTCTCGCACACACACACACACACACACACACACACACACACTTCCTTGATTATTTCCCACCTGTACTTTCACAGAGAAAGATAAGTTATGGAAATGGAGAGTAAAGGAAAGAGGGGGAGGAATAAGTCTTAGTTTTTATCTGGAAGATTACTTTACTTTTTTTTCTTTTTTTAAAGAAAGGGCTCAGAGAAAGTAGTTTGGACCTGGGGGTGTGAAGTGTGAGAGAAGCAGCTGGTGCCATGTAAGAATTTTTTAAAAGAAGATAAATAAAATAGATAATGACTCATTCATAAAGTCTTTCATATTCATCCTTTCTATTTTACTTTTTATAATCACGATTTTGTTTTTCCAAACTCTTTTACTTAATCTCCTAAAGCCTTACCTCCATTCTCTCTCTCTACTATTCTGATTTTTACATTTCAATTCCTATTCTACATATCTCTTCAGACTCATCATTCTTGAGTGAGTGTAAACTCTGGCCTAATTTAACTTGGAGCAGAAAAGTAATAATGATAATTGTTAACATTTCGCAGGACACGTGGGGCTCATTTAATAGAAAATGGACATCCTGGCCAGGCGTGTTGGCTCACCCCTGTAATCCCAGCACTTTGGGTGGGACAGGTGGGCAGATTACCTGAGATAGGGAGTTTGAGACCATCCTGGCTAACATGGTGAAACCCCATCTCTACTAAAAATACAAAAATTAGCCAGGTGTGGTGGTGCGTGCCTATAATCCCAGCTACTTGGGAGGCTGAGGCAGGAGAATTGCTTGAACCCAGGAGGCAGAGGTTGCAGTGAACCAAGATTGTGCCTCTGTACTTCAGCCTGGGTGACAAAGCAAGACTCTGTCTCAAAATAAATAAAAAAATAAATAAGGAAATGGACATCCTAGGCTGATGAAACCTCAGGTATTTAAAGGAGATAGAAAGCAGAGAGGGTGGGGATGGTATTCTGAATCTGTCTAGGTTCCAGTCTCTTCATGTATAAATTGGTGTTTAATATGTCAGCCTCACAAGCTCCTTGGGAGGATGAGATAACATTAGCACACTGCTGGAGATAGAGGTGAAAGACAGGTGAATGTCCAACAAAAATGGTTTATTTCCTGGCATAATTTCAAGGTCAAGTTTATCCTGACAGTGAAGCAAAGGAAGTGGATAGGTATGTTTCCAGGAGGGCCACACATTGGCTGTTTCAAGGTCCAGGAGAAAAAGGAAGAAAGCCATGTTCTCCTTTCTGACCTTATCCATTGCAGAACACTGGCCCCTTGGGGCCTTTGACCGGGACTTGGGCCAGAGCACAGTCCTCCCAGAGGGTGCCTGGAACAGGGCTGTTGAGAAAGGCACCTCCCTCAGAGACATGTAAGCATTGGCTTCACGAAGACAGAAGAACAGGAGCTTACCGGTTTCTTGTGCAATGTGGGTCACACTGTGTGTGAAAGACTTTAACAGTGTGAGGGAGACATTGCTGCTATGCAGGTGGGAGGCATAGCCAGCAACATGTGTATCCGATGGCGGAGGAAATCTGTGGACATTTGGGTTATAAATTATGGAGCATCTGCAACATTCTATTATCATCCTAGGCTGTATATTCATGTATATACTTACATACAAAACCATCCTGCTTGCTATTATTAACCCATTTTTTATTGAAGTATAATTGACAAATAAAAATTACAAATATTTAAAGTCACAATGTGATGTCTTGATATATGCATACATTATAAAATGATAATCACAATCAAGCTAATTAACACATCCACCTGCAGATGTGAACATCTGCCTCAGGGAAGCTGTCACTTGTCCAAAGTGATATAGGTGCCATGCAGCAGAGCTGAGGTTTTATCTGGCTCCAAAGAATACATACTTTCTGCTAGGCCATGCTGCCTTTAACTATGGAAAGTGACATCACTTCCTGCTTTTAATTCAGAACTGGAATTATTTTTATCTGCTGTATGTGCTCTAATTGAGAATCACTGAAGGCAGTCGTCACCAAAAGCCAGTTACATGACAGGCTTTAAACTATTTTCCTTCTTTTTTTTTTTTGTCACAGGGATGTTATTTGATTCATACTACCTTGATGTAAACAAGAAGACCAACTTAACACTTTCTTCAAGAAACAACTGCCCCAGGGATAGTTGGCTTCTAACCAGACTCTGATGAGTGGAGAGATTTGACTAATGGGTGATTCACAGCAAACATTGAGATTCTCTTGGCATCATAACTATGGATGTATAGCCAGTTTTATACACAGATTGTATAGAAGTGTTATGAGAGTCATGGCTTTCTTTCCTTCTACATAAATGTAAAATACATATTCTGAATACAAGATAAAAATGTTGAATCAAGGGAATGATGAGGCAAGAGGTGTTCAACTACAAAACCCATGGTAGACAGGATAATCCTGGGATTGTATACTATGAAATATTCATTTATTTTGTTCTTTAAGAAGTGTTATCAGTGTTTAGTAATTCACAGCTTTCTTATTCTCTGCTATTAAATCTTACAATAACTGCAGAGGTCTATCAGATCGGTGGTTCAGTGATGTGAGAATTACTTAGGCACATGGCATTATGCTACTTCAGTTCTCATCAGTTCAAGGTAATGTACACAGTGTGAACAGACTTCCAACTTTGCATCTTGCTTCATATATGATGAACAGTTAATTTTTATTCATATGGGTGTATTTCCCATATAAAAATAAAAGGACAGTGTCATGATATATACACAATCTTATTTTTTACATATATGGATGGTTTACTTTTGCCTATAGCAATGAAAATCAGTTACTGATCCCTATTATTCATGAGCCACATTAGACACAGAATTTCAGTTAGATGTTAAATATACAGGCAAGATCATCTCAGGATATCTTGGATTCATAATTTCCCAATGTTTTCTCATTGAGACCCATGCCTCAGGGTCAAGGAAAATAATTTGGTACTATTCAGGGGAACTCAAGCTTGAAACCAACACTGTTTTGAATTCCCTGACTGGCATTCAATTTCCCAAATCAAATGAAGAGGCCTCATTTCTATTTAGAGAAGCGTTAGAGGATAAAAATGTAATGATTACTCCACCCTGCAAAACTAAAGCCATAGTATCAGAATAAAGGTTGTATTTTCTAGGTTAAAAATTATCCACCTGGTTTATGAGAAAATTGATAGATTAGATTTTAGTGAAAAGTTGATA